ATATTAGCTCAGGTGAATTACTAAGCCAGGCATCAAATGAACCCCTCCGAAGAAGTGATTATGATATGGACTTAAGAAAAACCCAAAAATGCTGATGTTCCTATTGAACAGAAAAAGCATGCAATGTTTAATTCAGAACGGGGGTCTAGACCCATAAGGCGTCCCTAAGTAGTAGAATTTACATATTCATAAACAGTATTGAGAATAAATTACAGTGTCAGAACACAGTCCAAGAGTGGAGTTGTGTAAGGAGAATTCCAAGTGCTTTGTGAGAAAACTCCAAGAAAACAAGAGACTTATGACCTCAGTTTCTTCAAGACATGGAATTATTCTTCCGTGGAAGTGTGTTTTCATGCTCCTCCCCGGTGTAGCAGACAGGAGTGGGTTTGTTTCAGATTATTCATTACAACTGGCTATTGTTATTTGTTTATATGCTGCTATGGAAAAACATGGTTTTGCCATGTGTGGCTTGTCCTTGGGATTGTACACTTCACTCTGGTGACTCTTCTCAACCCTCAGAGTATGAACTGTGATGCTCTGAATAAAGCTGGCTATTGAGTGAGACTTCAGTCCACCTTATTATGGGCTCCATTCTCCCAGGTCCCACCACCTCCAGATCAACGACGTTGCACCTCAGTTTTTCACTAACCTATGTGACATTTGAAATTTACTTTCATCATGAATGTAGTCAATAAACCGAAATAGAATCATTACCTTTGACTCACTATTTTAAAAATCATGAACTTTTACATTTTATTTCAGTTGTAGATAGCATGAAATATAAAATACCAATGTCACAATCTCTCGGTTAAGGTAGTGATTAGACTTAAATTAATTAGATCTTATCAATAACATTTAAAATAAGTGTCATAAATTCACTTTTTAAAAATTTGAGTTTTTTTCTTTTCTTTGGTTTTGTTTGGGTTTTTCAAGACAGGGTTTCTCTGTAGCTTTGGGGCCTGTCCTGGAACTAGCTCTTGTTAACCAGTCTGGCCTCAAACTCACAGAGATCCATCTGCCTCTGACTCCTGAGTGCTGGGAGTATGCCACTACCGCCTGGTAAAAATTTGATTTTTAACATGTGAATTCTTTTGTGGTCTTATATCGTGTTGTTTTTTGTTTTTTGCATCTATACATATTATTTTGAGAAGGTGGTTCATCAGCTATTCCAGGCGACCATGGATTTCTTACACATACACAAATACAAGAGCTGAGGGCAATTTTATACTAAGGGCAATGTTCAGCTGATAAGTTCCAACTCACGTCTCTTGAGTGTTTGACAAGATAATAATCTTTAAAGAGAAGGTATATTATATATTTGAGAGAGGAAGCCAGCTTAAGGTACGATCACATACTAAATCAAAGCTTTAATGCTTCCTAGAATGGAAGCCCCTATCTGACAAGAACGAGGAGAGGCTGGATTGGGAAGATGACTCAGTGGGTAAAAGTGGTTTCTACAGAAGCATGAGAACCTGGCACAGTTCCCTAGCGGCTACATAAGAAGCTGGGCACAGCTGCTCATGAGCCTTGAACCAACACTGTGGAGGAAGGAGATGGGAGGATTGCTGGACCTTGCTGGCTGCCAGCCTAATTTAGGGTCTCACCACAAGAGACCAGAAGGGAATAAGACAGAGAGTGAAAAAGCCGAACGCCCAATATCCTCTTCTGGCCGTGGTATAGGCACAAGCACCTGCATGAGGACGCATGCGCATACACATACACACACGCACGCTCATAAGAGAGAAGGGAGGAGAGAGGAGGAAGAGGCATTGGTGGTAGCAGTAACTTCTCCCGCCAACAAGGATCAAATAAAGAGGAGGAGGAGAATAGAACGAAAGGAGGGCACCGCAAAACAGATATGCAAATGAGCCCGATCAGCCATCATGGACTGGGACCCTGTTTTACAGGGTTCAGCAGGAAAAGGTGAGGAAGTCTAGAAGAAGCTAGATGTCACCAAATCCAGCAGGGAACCTACATCACGAGTGGCAGTGGGGAGGCCTAGAGCAACGCTAGGTGAGCCTATAGGTGAGCATTCTTGAGTTTTAGGTTTGGGATGGGCTGAGGGTAGACCTGTAAGACTAAAGGAGGCCTAGGATTAGGATGAAGAGTTTCTATACCCAGAGGGATTTCTCGACCAAACAACTTGGTCATGAACTTTAAGGGTAGATACAAACATGATGCCCCAGTACTCAGGTAAAGCCAGCTGCCCCATAATGATAACAGAAAAGAGATTGGGCCATACCAGATGGTCCAGAAAAGATCAGTGGAGCAGAAGGACCCATCCCTACCAACACTGGTGTGATTTGGGATTCCACTCTGTATGCTATGAATGTTTTATTACCATTGGATAATAAAGAGGCTGCTTTGACCTATGGCAGGGCAGAATAGAGCTAGGCAGGAAATCCAAGCAGAGATAGAGGAGGAAAGACAGAGGAGTCAGGGAGATGCCATGTAGCTGCCAAAGGAGAAAGATGCCAGAACCTCATGGCAATACACAGATTAACAGAAATGGGTTAATTTATAATGTAAGAGCTATCTAGAAATATGCCTGAGTCATTGGCCAAACAGTGTTGTAATTAATATAGTTTTTGTGTGATTATTCAGATATGGGTGGCTGGAAAACAAAGTGCAGATTTCGCGTGTGCTGGTGTTACACAAATCCTGCTCTAATGCCCAGACACCATCAGAAGGGAGAACAGGGAAATGCAGAAATTTTAGAAGTAAAAGATTTTACCCCAGAAAGACTGAGTTAACCAAAAGACACCTGAAACCAGAAGAAAGTGAGCTGAGTTAAGAAGTTTAAGGATGTTTTCCTTTCTTTCTCTCTCTCTTTCTCTTTTCTTTTTCTTTTTTTCTCTTTCTTTCTTAAGATTTATTTATTTATTATGTAAATGGTGTTCTGCCTGCACAACAGAAAAGGGTGCCAGATATCATTATAGATGGTTGCTGGGAATTGAACTCAGGACCTCTGGAAGAGCAACCAGTGCTCTTAATCTCTGAGTCATCTCTCCAGCCTGATTTATGGGGTTTCTAACCCCTCCTCTATTTTTGCATTCTTGCCTGACTTCTCTTTCCGTGCACAAGGGACTTTTTTGTTTGATTTAGCTTAATCACAGAAAATAAGGTGTGCCTACCCCTCTGCAATACCTGAACAACACAAGCTGTATTTTAACTCTGCCAGAAGCACTGCCTTTTCCTAGAAAGGCAATGGTAAAGGACTCCGTGATGAGTGATATTCATCATTTTTGTTTATATATTAGAATTTATGGTTTTTTAAAGGGCTCTAGGTACAAATGCTTATATAGACATTTATATATTTGTTCTATAAAACGTGCATTGTCCACATGTGCAAAGGAGCCCCTGAAGAGTAACAAGTAAGAATGAGGGAGACCTGGATTCCTCCATATTGGGCTCCATCCAAATCCTTCCAACAACCTCTACATGCGCACCACCCCCCACTCAGCAGTTCAGTCAGAACTTCTATCGTCACAGCTCAGATAATAAAAAGGATGACAGAGATGGTCAAGTCTCGTCTAGATGCATAACATGACTAAAATGAACCGGAGTAGAACCGAGTAATAGTGCATGTTACATGGAGATTAGAAGGTGCGTAAATCAACATATTCCACAAAGGGCCCAGACCAACTTCAAAGAGTCCCTGGGGAGTCTCTGGGACAGCAAGCAGGATATTAACAGCCTGGATACTCCACAAATGTCACAGGGAGCATAGAGAATCTCACTGAAGATAAACAAAGAATCGCCTCTTAGGTTGGCATGGTCTAGGTGTGACCAAACTTTTGACATTGGCACGAGAAACTCATCTATAAGCTTCACTCTTGAGAACCATGAAACTGAGTTACAAACAAAAATTTCCAAAGCTGTCTCATAAAGTAAGCTTGCAATTTTATGCCAGACTACACTTACAGCTATCCCGTAGGTTGTCCAGCCCTCTGATACTGCGGCAAGATGCTGTGGTCAATAAATGTGTTGGGTCTCATTCATAGCTAACCTGGAATGTATGTAGCCTGTGGATTACATGTCTAAATGATCTTGATCTTAAGGGCATCTCTTCATTTAAGAACACGACAAATCATCTCTCCAAATTTAATGTAAGAATATGCACTTTCTGTTGTCAGCACACGTATGCAAGCTTGCATGTGCGCGCACACACACACTCACTCAAAATGTCACAGATTCTATGTTGTTCATCTGCAGATGTTCAGAATTTCTTTGTTCTGAAGTTAAGATTTCTCCTCCAAAAACATATGAACTGCATGACCCACGAAAGTGGACCTACCTGCCAGGCTGAATTTGCAAAGTAGAGGGAACATCCACAGAGCCAAGGTCCGCATTGTTCCGGAATCACACCCAGAGGCTGGCCAGAGCTCAAAATCTCATCAGTCAAATGAGAGGTTGCTTCTCTGTCTCTCTATTCCAATGACAGATTCTAGGCGTTTGGGCAGGAAGGAAAGTTTTATTTCCACACCACCCAATCCCATCCATCCTCCATCCCATTCTCCATTCCATCCCCCACCCCATCCATCCATCCTCCATCCCATCCCCCATCCCATCCCATCCCATCGGCGGTCTGTCACAACACAGATCTTGTCGTAATTATTACATCAACCCCAGTCCCCATTTTAAAGATGTGTACTGGCAACAGGTTTTCCTTTGGTCCACAATGCACACTGCTCTGTAAGAGCCAAAGCAAACAATCACCAAGAACAGGAGTGAGGCAGACAGAAGGCACCACGAATTTGTACAGATTAGGCCACTTCTAGCCTTTGCCTCAATTACCGAGCTCTGGACCAAACAAAACAACCAAGAGCTTCCCAGAAACTCTATTTCTTGTCTCCCCACTGTGTGTGCTGGCCTTTCCCCTCGTAGGATTATAAAGTATACTTTGGTTTCGAACCTGGTTCTTGGCTTAGAACTCCTTCCCCAAGGAAGACTATAGAAACTAAAATTTCTCTTTCCTGAGATGAATCATAGAAACTCTAGCAGAAATTCTAATTTCCCTTCTTCCCTTTCTCTTTCATAATAACCTGGTAAGCCTGCTCCTCTGACTTCAGTGAGTCGTTCAGACAGATTAGCTGAATTCAAGAAAGAAGTCATAGCAACAATGATTTATAGTCAGTTGGTCCAAAAGCACAAGTAGAACCGCCCAAGGCTTGGAAGTAGGAGCTGCATTTTTGGGGAGTTGGTGTCTCCAACCTGGGGGGTCTGATGTTATCTCCGAGAAGATGGTATCAGAACTGAATCAGATTAGAGGACATTCCTCTGGCATCGGGTGCTACAGAATCAATTGTTTGCTATGTGAAAAGTCCCCACCCATCTGCTATTAGAACTTTCTGTAATGACTGTGGTGTAGCAGCAGAAGAAATCAAGACATTCTGTTTTGCCTACCACATCCTTATTCCTGGCAATTTAACCACTTCACTTAGACTTACGTAAAGGCCAATCTATGCTAGGACACCGTCCCTGAACACCCTGAACCTTCCTTTGAGCCTCTCCCACTGAGCTAGCTGCATAGGTGGTTCTCAGTAACAGACTTTCTGACTCCGGTAGCTTTGTGAGATCAAAGCCGACTCAATGCAACGCATGATGTATGGTAGACATTCAGTACTCCTTGTGTAGTTGATAGTAAGGAATAAAATAAATGCCAAATCAGGGCCAGGAAAATCTAAAGATGAAGCAAATGTGAAAGCATCACTCATCCCAGGAAGAAGTGAGAGATGCTACATTTTCCTGTGACAGATGATGGGATGTAGGCACAGGGACAGCGCTAAACAAACAAACAAGCAAACTTGTGGAGCAAGCTACAGGGATAAAAGTCTCTTATGCATACAAAAACCTAAATGCCTACTAAATGAAAATACCTAACCAAGCAGAATGAGGGCTTAGACCTCAGGAGGCTGAGGCCCAGGTTCAATTGTGAATTCAACATCATCGTATTCGCCTTAGCGAGTGTGAGGACAGTTTAAGATCCAAATAAGCTCCAGTCATAAAACTGAGAAGACAGTAGGAAGAAAATAAAGCTGTCATCAGTAAAAGGGGGGATTGCTGGTTGTCGGACAGCAGTGGCTAATGCCTAACGCTACTCCAGAGAATTTCATCACTCAGGATGTAGATCCTTGGATATAAATGAGTATAGGACACCAAGCAAGCATTTCATTTCCCAATGAAGAACAGATAAGTTTTGAAAAATTTTATCATGTGGACTAGCAAGATGGCTTTGTGGGTAAAGACATCTGGGCCTATGATGGCTATCCAAGTTCAACCCCCAGACTTCACACAGTGGAAGAGAATGAAACCCTGCAAGCTCTCTTCTCACCTCCAAAGGTACATGCTGATGTGCACACACACACAAACGTAATAAAGATTTTTATCAAGATAAAAATAAAAAAACTTAAAAAGAGACAAAAATTTGTCATTGTACAATAACATCCTTCTGTTTCTCATTATTGAAATTTATGTTAATCTGTTTCTAGTTTTAGGAGACAACATGTCTTTTAGTCTTCATTTCTACTTTATTTACATGCTCAAAAATATTATTAGAAAGGGAGGGAGTTTCCAATGTGGAAATTCCATAAAAACAAGCTATCAGCTCAATAATTGTATCAATGTATAATTATCTATATAATAAAGCTAAAATTGTTACCAATAAATTATTTTTCATTTTTAAATCTTTGACTGTTTCATGCTAAAAACAATGTGACGTATGATGTTTTCTAATTAATGTCAATCCTCACGTCGTTCCTTTATCATGAGAACACTTACCTGCTATTTCTGAGAACCTAGAAAGAAGCTTTAAACAGCTCGCAGCGCTATGACAGCCAGGGACAAAGCTGGACAACTCGCATCTGAAGAAAGTGTGACTTTCTAGAAACTAGAGACGCGCTGGCCGTTGAACTTCTTGGATTCCTTCAGCGTTGCACGCAGGGAGAAGAGCCCGGCTCTCACTCCCAAGAGCTGGGTCGTGGCTTCTTCACAAGGGACAGAGACAGAGCGGACAGCCAGAGTAGCGACTTTTTCAAGCTACCAATGCCAGAGTGAGCTGCTCTTACTGAGGGCTGTCATGCTGTAATTCCTCCTGGGAATTTGAGCACAGAGCAGATAAAGGCTTGGGTTACTTCTAGAGTTGGAGAACGACTGTGATCTTAAATATTCCATGTCGATCATAATTATGCAGGGAGGACTCAGAGTAACTAAGCCAACCAGCGTAGCCCTCAGGACGAGGGCCCTCATTCTCATGTACGTGTGTCACAGGGACTTTTCTACTTGTCTTTTACCGTAAAGCACCACAATAGAAAAAATCTGCCTGTTGGCTCTAAACATTGATAGATGAGTGGGCTCTCCCACTAGTTCAGAAACAGACTTAGGGACTTCCGTCGGTAAAATCTGTGTAGTACGGGTGGTAGGTTCCTGTACAATTGAAGAGCATGGGTTCACTCAAAACTTCAGTCAAGGACCTGTATATCATCTGCGAGAAGGAGAAATGGAGAATCTTCATAGTTGGATTGCAGGTGAGACAACCCACATAAGAAAGTTATGGATCACCATGCTTTTTTAAGTCAACTAAGAGAATACTGAGTCCTCTAGGGAGCTGACCAAGTTCAGACTAATGCCTAGGAAAAGCACATGCTAGTCTATTAGGAACCAGCCTCCATCTGAATCCCCCTACTGTCCTGAGCATCATTCAGGCCCTAGTCCTGCAGTGAATAGAACAGATCCCTACGGAAGCGTCCCCATGTGGTGTGGGATAATTGTTTGTATTCTGTCAATTATATTTTAAATAAACACAGATTGGTCAGTAGCCAGGCAGGAAGTAGTATAGGTGGGACAACCAGACAGGAAGTAGAGGGGGTCAATGAGAACAGGAGAATTCTGGGAAGAAGTAAGTTCCTTGGGCAGTCTTGACCCATCCATAGAAGCAGCAAGATGTGACTGCCCTGCCGAAAAAGGTACAGAGCCACGTGGCTAACAGAGACAAGAATAATGGGCCAATATAAGTTGTAAGAGTTAATAAGAAGCCTGAGCTAATGGGCCAATCAGTTTATAAATAATGTAGATCTCTGTGTGATTTCTTTGGGACTTAATGATTGCGGGAAGCAGGCAGGACTCTCTTTTTCTGCTAATAGAATTCGTATTGTAAAGGTCACCAGGTCACAAGTTTAAATGTGGAAGAAAAGTAAAGCGAGAGGCCAGTCTCTGGAAGGCCCCGGCCCATTGCTGGCAGAGATGGCACTGTCTCGTTTCAGCCTTTCACGCTCTCCGGATCATCCCTGCTGCCCACCCCCACCCCCAGGCAGTGAGGCTTCATTGATGATTTAAAAGACAGAAGTGACTCACTGCATACGAGTTCCTGCTGCACAAGCACAATCACCTCAGTTCAAATCCCCAGAACCCATGGAAAAACCACACCTAGTCACACCCATGCCTGGAACTCCAGCTCTGTCCTAGATGGATGGATGATGACTCAGGTTTGGGGCTGCCAGTCCAGTTCCAGGTTAAATGAGAAACCTTTTCTCAAGGGAATGAGGCAGGCAGCATTAGAACGGGATGCCAAGGTCCTCCTCTGGACTCCACATGCACTTGTGGGCAGGAACACTGGCATGTGTACACACACACACACACACACACACACACACATACACGATGAACACACATGCAGTACTATTGATTGAGGAAAATAATAAAACATGCTGCAACCAGGGTGACAGATTCTAACAGGGTAGCCACAAGACCACAGCCTTGTGAAAGATTTCTCAAAACCCAAAAGTCTCCTTTCCAGGTTGCCCAGAACCAGTGAAGGCTTTTCTGATTACAGGGTTAGCAGCAGGGAAAGCCCAAGGGAAGGGATGTAGGACTTCCTGTGTTAGAAAGGCAATACCCCTGCTATCCCTCAACTGTCTCTTAGAGGGGTAAGTGAGTGACTCATTCTCTGTCAGGAAAATAATAATAGGGAATTCACAAGCATTCTGCTGTGCTCCCACGAAGAACTACAGCCACTTCCTCCCGATCCTGTGTCGTCAGCCTTCATTTTGAAATGGAGTACTATGAAATGGGTAACTGCTCTTCAAAGAGAGACCCCTTCCTAGGAACTGGCCTGCTCAGAGGAAATGCATTGGAACAGAGAATTTGGTAGAGCCCCAGAATTCCTGAACAGTACAATGGATATGCCATCCTGGACTCTTAGTGGCCTCGGTGATGCCACTTCTCCATCTTACACTTACCAACGATGACACCACAGCAGCTGCCATCAGGGATGAGGAAACCACCCAAGCAGTTACTGCTGGCCACAAGCAGTGGCCAGGATGGAGAGGGGACGTGGGAGTCTCCTGACTCTGATAAAGTTGTCTCTACCCCCTCTCATCCTACCACAGGCTACAGCGCAAAGGAGCGAGAGAGGTGGCCATCCCACTTCCTGGCAATCCTGCCCACCACACGACACCCTTGCCATTTCAGTTCTCTCTCAAGGTGGGCTCTTAGATGTCAACATTGTCTGATGCCATTTTTTACTTCCTTTCATTCAGTCAGTCATTCATAATCCTTTCAACTATTTGTCGACAACCATCCTGTGCTGGACACAGTGGAGTAAAGCTGTCAACCAAGTCTTATTAGTCTGAGAAATACTGAGGGGCTGAGAGAGGCAGGGCAGTTTGCTTGATAGTGTCAGCACCTCCAGTGTTAAGTCTAAGGTACTGGACCTTATGGCCACGCCCACTTTGCTTTCCCAGTCTTTACAAACACCAAGCTGCCCTGGCAGGAGGGTACTGAGGCACAGTACTGAGTACAGTACCTCAGAGTTCCCCACAGAATCTGCTGTATACTTTTTCTTCTTTTGTTGAAATACAAGGGTCCTCTCTTCTCATTCTCTCGCTGCTGCTGCTGTATGCGAGTTAATGTGTGAGCATGTATGCAGAGGTCAGAGCTCAACTGGCGTCTCGACCTTTTAAAGAATGTGTAAGTTTGAGTATTTTGCCTAAATGTATGTCTATACATCATATACGTGCCTGATGCCTGCAGAGGCTGCAAGTGGCATCAGGTGCCCTGGAGTTAGAGACAGCTGTGAGTGGCCTTGTGGGTGCTGGGAACTGGAACTAAACCCACGTCCTCTGGTAGGACAGCCGAGGCTCAGCCATCTCTCTCTGATCTAGCACTCAGTGGTTCAACTAGCCTGGTCCCAGAGACCCTCCTGTCTGCCGGGATTACAGACTGTGTACTGTTGTGCTCAGCTCTTCCATGGGCTCCAGGGGATTGAACGTGGGTCCTTATGCCTGTGTGGCAAGCACTATACCACCTGAGCCCTCTCTAGCCCCTCATTCTCTAAAATGCTGATGTGGATCCTAAAATAATAATGATCTCAGCTTTATACAGCACTTACACGGGTATTTTTACTTAAGTCCCTGAAGTAAATAAGGTAGATAACTTATGTTTCATATTTATTTACATTATTTAAAATTGTGTAAAATATATTTTATCTATTATATTTTATAAGTTATTTAAGATTGCTATTTTTTCCTAAGCCAAACTCAGCCAAATATTAGCAATTTAAACTTAAGAAGTAGTGGTCCCACAATTTAAACTTAAGAAGTAGTGGTCCCCTTACTTTTATATGAGGGCATTGAATGCTTTCCCAGGATGAAGTTAAGAGATGTCAGATATCTGCCTTCAGTCCTAAAGTCAGTAAGCCCATGTGGGAAGTGAGCTGTTCCAAGGGAGAATGCTCGAAAAGGCCAGCAACCAGACTGACAAGATCACAGCCACATAAGAGCCCACTAGGTGTTAATTACATTGTATCATCTGGACCCTCATCCACAAATTCCTGTAGACCTGGCGCAGTCTCCACTTCATAGACAAGCAAATTGGACATCAGAGAGTCTGTAAACATTTTACAGAAGAAAAACACGGTTTGTGAAGGACAAACATAAATCCAAGCTCTTCGGTACAGGCTTTCAACTCAACTGTCTGATAGTGCTCAGCGCTTTCTTCTCCCCTATCTCTCCTGCTCCAAAACTCTACTAGCCACAGGCTCTGGCTCCAACTCACCTAGCTGTAATTGTCATTAGTCTGCAGTTTAATTCTGTTTTTAATTTTTTTAATTTTTTAACGATTTAATTTTTGTAAATTTCATTTTGCATTCTGACCACAGTTCTCCCTTCCACCCCTCCTCCCATCCTCCCTTTCGTTACGAAAATTTTCCTAACCTCTCATCCTCGACCCCCATGACTCCTCACCACAGCTTTTGAGAACATGACTATAAAAGAGTCCACCAACTACCAACTTCTGTCTCAGGAGTGACCCCAACAGCTGTCTCAGGAGTGACCCCAACAGCTGTCTCAGGAGTGACCCCAACAGCTGCCTCAGGAGTGACCCCCAACAGCTGTCTCAGGAGCGACCCGTGAATGGGCTCTGACCCATCATTTTAAGCGAGCAAATTCATATCTAGTAGGAAGAAGGGAGTCTGATTATCAACAGCTGAGTCCTCACACTCACCTTCATGATTAGGCGGTACCCCATCTTGTCCGGCTGGTTTCAAGGATCCTTGTGGAAGTCAATGCAATGAACAACCCAGGACCTAGAGGGTGATGTGCACTTTATCATCAGGGAAATGTGTGCTTCCTGTTGCTCTGAGGGCTTCCCTTTAGCTTTTAAATCCAGCCCAGCCCAGTGTGGCACTTACCCACTTGTGCTGGGAAATGGGTTGCATTACAGTAACTGCACAGTTAAATGAATAATTGTAGGCTTCTGTTAGACCACTCAACTTAAAAGGAAGTGCCATCGAAGACGCCATAAACAACTCAAGGAAATTGCTCAACTTTCAAGTTTATATTTGGGAAGTCTCGACAAATGTGGCAGTGGATATGAAACATTTTGCTTGTCCTCAACTTGAAGAATGCAATAGGCAACCATGACATGTGTCAACCAGGAAGGAGCTAGAAGGAAGAGATGATGGTAGATAACTCTGAAAAGAGGTTTATAATTCTTGCTTCTGTCCAAACTGAGCTGTGTATCTATATTTGAACCGAGCAGAAACCCGGCTTAGGTACCAACATTAATGCTGAATACTAAGAGTATATGAATCCCTTGCTATGTGCTGGGATCAGTACTAAGAGCTTTGGTCTTCTAAATTGGTCATCACAATAATCCTGTGAGATTAACAGAAATCCTACTGCTGAGGTGAAGAAATTCAAATTAGTTGAGAAACTGAACAAAATGTGGAGCTGTGTTGGTTAATTTTCTGTCAAGTTGACACAAGTTGTAATGATCTGAGCGGGAGGGAACCTCAGTTGAGAAGATGCCTCTGTAAGATCTGGCTGTAGGCAAGACTGTTGGGCATTTTCTTAATTAGCGATTGACAGGAGAAGGCCCAGCCTACTGTGAGTGATGCCGTCTCTGGGCTGGTGACCCCAGATTCAGTAAGAAAGCAGGCTGACCAAACCATGAGGAGGAGCAAGCCAGTAAGCAGCACAGTTTGATGGCCTATGCATCAGCTCCTGCCTCCAGGTTCCGGACCTGCTTGAGTTCCTGCCCTGACTTCCTTCAATGGACTGTGATTCAGGCTATGTAGAACAAATAAAACGTTTCTTCTACAAATTGCTTCTGGTCACGGTGTTCCGCCACAGCGGTAGAAAAGTAACTAAGATAGGAGCCAAGAACTAAACCAAGGCCACCTGACGTTGTTTCCTAGACACCAAGGTCACATTAGATGATTTGGGGGATCCCTTTGAGTGCCACAATTCGGCAGCCTTTTGTAAATGACTGATAAAGTCAACATGGAGAAATAAAAACCAGAGAAGAGGTTGTGCCATAACAGGGAAGAAACACAGCCTATGTTTTAGGATAAGGTACACAGCAGAAAAAAAAAATGACATCTTGAAATTTACAGGCAAGTGGATGGAGCTAGAAATCATCATATTGAGTGAGGTAACCCAGACCCAGACCCAGAAAGACAATTATCACATGTACTCACTCATAAATGGTTTTTAGACATAAAGCAAAGAAAACCAGCCTACAAATCACAATCCCAGAGAACCTAGACAACAATGAGGACCCTAAGAGGGACATACATGGATCTAATCTGCATGGGAAGTAGAAAAAGACAAAATCTCCTGAGTAAATTGGGAGCATGGGGACCATGGGAGAGGGTTGATGGCAGAAAGATCATAAGAGCCAGAAGACCAGGAAGTTTGTATTGAGGTTGTATCTCCTAGAAATGACAGAGAAGCTACTCCCACGATACATTAATATTATGGTTGATGAAATCAGGCCTGAAAAAAATGATAATATTAATGGACATATTAACAGGAAGGAGAAAAATCCACAATCTGCCCCCAGACCAAGAACTATAGGCAACTAATGACTGCTGAGAGAGAGAGACAGTCTCTCCCTACGATGAGCACCCTCATTGGTTATCCAGTACAAAGTACTCGGGCCTGCAGTTATATAATACAAGCCACACTAATCAAACTCAGAAGGCTGCGTTTATGCATTTCTATTACATGTAACAATAGTGATCAAAATGAAGCCATCGATTTGCGAGGGAGTGGGGGTATAGGAGGAGTTTTAGAGAAGGAAGATGAGGGGTTAGCGGAAGGACAGGGATGGGGAAAGCATGCATTTTTATTTTAATTAAATTTTTAAATATATTTTTTTTCAAAAAAAGTGGGAAGTGAAAAATGATAAATGAGTTGTTAAATGAGAATGCCGAGGCCTCAAAGTATCTAAAGGATGCCAATAGGAAATAAGCATAATTATGCTATAGTATCCCACATGGTTCCTTGGTAGCAGTGGAGTAAGCCTTTAATCCCCGCACTCAGAGGGGCAGTGAGTTTGAGGCCAGCCTGGTCTACAGAATGAGTTCTAGAACAACCAGAGAGCCAGAGCTACACAGAGAAAACCTGTCCCAAAACAAAACAGAAAGCAGCTAAGTGACAAACTGATGGCTTGATGGACAGTTTCCTATGAAATGGTCTTTGAGTTGTAGCCCCTGAGGCTGCTCCACTCATAAACCACACCCTGAAGAGCAGGGCAATGAGCAGACCATCGTTTGTTAGTGGAGAGCACAGATGAAAGCACTGGATATGCCATTTTACCAGGAATTCCACTTTTGTACACTTACTGAAGAGGAACAGCAGTGGGGTTTTCTGGAGACACACCCTTGAGGATGATTAGCACGGCAGTGTTTGCAAAACCCAAATAGGTGCTGAAGACACAACTCAGAAATTCAGAAATCCTGGCTGCTCTTCCGGAGGACCCGGGTTTGGCTCCCAGCAACCTCTTCAGGGGGCTCACGACTGCCTGTAATTCTAGTTCCAGGGCATCCAGTACCCTCTTTTAGATTCCTCCGGCACACAGTGCAGCAGACACACAGGTGCGTGCACTCATGTACACACACACACATGATAATAAACCTATTTTTAAACACACTTATTGTTTTTTAAAAACTGTAACTTGTAAACTAATATGTAATTTTAAAATTTATAATTTTTTTTTTTAAAAAGAGCTCCTTGGACTTCCCTGACTTGACCTGTAATCTGGAATTCTGAGATAAAACAGGTCCTTTGACCTCAAGGCTGTTGTTTGTATGTGTATTTTATCAGAGCAATGGAAATAAAACTAACACAGCAAGAAAACCAGCACCAGAGTAAAGAGACTGTCTTTAAAAGTGGGGGTGGGGATGGGGAGCATCAACAACTTCATACAAGATAGGGGACTCATATCTAAGATCTATAAAGAACTACTAAATTAAACACCAAAAGACCCCAAACCATCCAAACAACAAACGGGCTAATGAGGAATTCTCAAAAGAAGAAATACCAACGGTCAATAAATACTGGAAAAAGTTTGTAACATCTGTGGTCAGCAGGGAATGCAAATTAAAACTAGAGTGAGTCATAGTTTGTGTCACTCCACTCAGAACATCAAGACAACAAACGACAAATCTTGACAAGGATATGGGGAAAGAAGAACCCTCAACTCACTGCTGGCTGAGATACAGATTTGTGCAGCTACTGTAAAAATAAGTATGGTAGTTCTTCAAGAAACAAAAACTAGAGTCACCAGCGGACCAAAGTCAGCCTATCACAAAGCTAAGTGCACGTTCAGGTTTCTGGTTATATTGTTCACAACAGCCAGGAAAAGGAACTAGACCAGATCTCCATCAGCAAATATGAGTGGACAAAGACAATGTGGAACACAGTCATAAAGTAATTTTATGTGGTCGTAAAGAAAAATTAGATCATTATAACATCTGTAAGAATATTGATGGAAATCATTATGTTAATTAAAATAAACCAGGCTTAGAAAAACAAATGCCATGTAGTTTTGTTCATACTCAGATCTTAGTTGAAAGTGTGTATATGTGTTTCTTTGTGTGTATGTGTGTGTGTACCTGTGTGTATAGTTCACAAAACTAGAAAGGTGATCAGGAGAGGAAATCTTAGGGGGATGGCAAATAGAGGGGGTAATGTAATAGGAAAGCAGAAAAAGGGACCAACTGGGGAAAAAAAGGGAACCACTGAGAGGAAAGAGGGGCCTGGAGAAGGGTGGTGGTGAGGGGAACAAATGAGAACAAGGTCTAAAGACACATACGTATGAAGGTACTATGACAGAACCCAAACTCTGTTAGGTCACCTAAAAAAAATAATTAAAAAAAAAACCAATCAGCCAGATACTGGACATTCTTCTCTAGGGTCTAATCTGCTGGAGCTGCCCCCACACTGCAGGCTTGAACCAGCATGTACATCCTGCATACTAACCCAGTGTTCTCTGTCTATCAGACTTCAGGCCACGTAAGCCATTCCCAACCTCTAGACCCAACATGCCCATACAACCTCTCCTCTGCCCCAACCTGCTATGCCCACATCAGACACAGAACAAAAGAAGTCCACAGGCCCAGAAATCATTATAAAAATACAAACAATATGAAAAAGCAAACCAACCTCTCCTCTCTATAATCCACCAGTCCTGTGGAAGTGTTCGCAAATGAGAATTACCGGGTGAACGCCAGAATACAGAATTTAAAAGAACAAATGAAATCCAAAGAAACCAAGAAATAATAAAACAAGAGCATTGATTAATGAAAGAGAAAACAATACAAAGGATGAGCAAATCGAAGGGCCTGGCTCTTTGAGAAGATGAGCAGGACTGACAGATCCCAACTAACCAAAAAGGATAGGAGCCAAGTTAACAGAATCAGAAATGGACACGAAAACATTACACAGATACCAAAGGAATTCAGGATATTTTAAGGGAAGAATTTAAAAACCTGTACTCCAATAAGTTGAGAAACCTAAAATAAATAGATGAATTTCGAGATTCAAACCATCAAAACCAAAAAGAGGTCAACAGCCTAAATAGATGCAAAATTAATGAGTTTAAAATAGTAATAAAAAGGCTTCTAGCTACAAATGGCTCAGGCCCTGAGGGATCAGCAGAATTTTACTTTCTGTTTCAAAGACCCACAGTAAACATTCTTTAAACTATTAAAAAAAACCAACTAAACAAATTTTAAACGAACAAAGGAACACTCCAAAACTCCTATGAGGACGGTATCGTTCTACTACCAACATCAGGTGAAGACAGGACAAAAAAGAAAGCCATAGGCCAATATTACTGATGAACACAGACTCAAATATGCTCGATAAAATACTTGCAAACAGAATACTGGCATA